GTTACATTTTATAGATCTAAGTGTAATCAGAGATCTTTAAGTGAATCTAATTCTAAAGCTGAAGTAATTTCAATACCTGCTGATAATGCTGTTATTCAAGATTATGAGCTTTATTTTAGTAAAAGACCACCAATTTGTGAAGATGCATTTTACTTGCAACCTTGCAACAATAATGAAGGTAATTATTTATTATGTAGTAATTTATTATTTTTTTTTACCTTTCTTTTAATTTCAAATAGTTGAGTTTACGGGTTATTGGTTCAAATCTGCTCAAATGGGAGAAAAATTGGTAAAAGGACTTATGAAAGAAATTGCAACAATAACTGAAATCAATTGTGATAAAAGAAAGTTCACAAATCATAGTGGACGAAAAACCTTTATTCAAATTTCAAAAAGTGAAGGAATTAGTGATAATGATGTGATGTCTGTGTCACGGCATAAAAATCCTCACTCTTTGGCTTATTATGAACGTCCCAAGTCTATATTGCAGCAAAATACATTATCGCAAATTAATTCTTTAATTTATAATGGTAAGAAAAGAATTGCACCTGTGGTTTTAATGTAAAAGTAATATACAATATATTTATTATTTTTCTTTTCATTAGATACATTATTGTCAAATGACAAAACTGCAAATTCTTTTTCTTCAGCCTTAGAAATTTTTAATGGTAAGATTTAAATTATGAACTAATAATTCTTATGGTATAAAAAATTTTATTTTTTTTTAGAATCACGGTCACCACTTCAGCAGCTCAACTCAAATGATTTAAACGAATTAAATGATGGTCAACAAAATAAAGAAATTAACGGAAATGACGAGACCATTAAAAAAATTCTCCATGGGAATGTTTTTCAGAATTGTAATATTACATTTAATGTGAATAAATGATTTTTATACGAATTTTATTATATGTACACTTATAAATAGCTTATTTTAATAATATAAAGTATAAATAGCTTATATAAAGTATAAATGGTTTATTATGATATTATAAAGTATAAATAAAATATCTAAAAATATAGTATGTTATGATCATATGTACCCGAACGATAATATGAAATATTATATCACCTATTAATAAAAAAATTTATGTAATTAAAAAAAATATAATACCAGTCTTCAATTTGTTAAAAAATAAAAAAAAAAATTCGTCATGATTCCTTATTTATCTAAATGGGTTCACAATGTTTCAATTAGGTAATGACAATAAAAAAAATGTGCGGCTGAAAAATCGCTAAATTTGATTGGTAGCGAATTGTTAGCCTCAGATGTGCATGATACATATTGTGCTCCGAGCATAACTTTACGACTTTACGTTCAATAATTTGTTTTAATAATTTTCATTTATTATAAAGTAAATAACAGTACTACACATATAACTAAAATTACTGTAATTAACACATTTATTTCATAATTGATAAGTATGGAATCGTTGAAAAAGATATTCAAAAAAAGTCAAGTAATACTAGTATGGAAATTTTGAATAAAACATCCAAAGGAAAGCAAAGAAATTTATGGAAAGGTGTTGATTGGGATAAATATCAGGTAAATGCAATTTCACTTTAATAATTATTATAAATAATGTGATTTAAAATGAATAAAATATATTTTAATCATTTATTTAGGTTCATGTTACTATTTCTTCTATTAATTCTGAAGAGATTGATGATAAAGTAATCTATATGGACGATATAGAAAAAAGAAAAGAAGACTATGGTATATGTGGAGAATGTAATGAACCTGGTACAGGAGCATTTTGGTGTCAACATTGTAATGCTAAAAGATTTAAGGAAAATTTTAAAAATTGGACTAGTGGAAATAAAGATATTGATGAATTAATACAACATTCACAACTTAATGCTGTATATTGTTTAAAATGTCTTAAATGGATACCTTATGAGAAATTTCAAAACGTCACTTATATTACCAGAGAAGGCTTTGGTAAAATTTATTCAGCTGAATTGCCTGAAGGATATATTGGTTATTGGGATATTGAAAATCAAAAATGGTACCGATACACAGTCAAAAAAATTGCAAAATGAGGTAACTAAATAGAAAATTAATTTATCGTGTTATATTTAAATTTACATTATAATTTTCATTAAATTTTGAAAAAATTTTAATTATTAGATCAAATCTTATCTTCAGATTTATTTTCGGAATATTGCTTCCTGCTATGGAATAACTCAAGATCCAAATACCAAAGATTATATGATGGTTTTATATTATTGTGAAAATGGAAATTTAAGAAATTTCTATTTAAATAAGTCCGATAATAATATAAAACTTTATAGATTATCAAGAATTGCAAATGGACTGTTAAGTATCCATAATGCCGAAAAAGTCCATAAAGATTTTCATTCAGGTAATATATTGCATGGTGGGCCTATGTATATAAGTGATTTAGGAATGTGTCAACCAGCAAATAATAAAGAGAAATCAGATAAAAAAGAAGCAGTTTATGGAGTATTACCTTATATGGCACCAGAAGTTTTACATGGATATCAATATACAAAAGCAGCTGATATTTATTCATTTGGAATAATTATGAATGAGTACCTTTCTGAAGAAATTCCTTTTAATGATATTCCTCATGATCATATTTTAGCTGTTAAAATATGTAAAGGACTTAGACCAAAAATTTCTGAACATATTCCAAAATTCCTTGTAGATTTAATTATGAAATGTTGGGATGCTAAAGCAGAAAATAGACCATCTGCTAAAGAATTATATCAAATATTAAAAATATGGGAGGAAACAGAATTCGATGATGATGAAATTTATTCTCAAATGATTAATTATGAAAAAATTAGGGAAATAAAATTTAAAAACAGATCAAATGAAAATAAGTCTGAAAGTATTAAAACTCATCCTCAGGCGATCTATACAAGTAGACTTTTAAATTTCAAAAATCTTCCAGAACCAGTAAATTCATCAGATCTATCATCATTTCAAGTTATTTCAGGTAAGTCAATTTTAATCATGAAAAATTCTAATTCAAGTTTTAACAATATTCCAATCTTTTTTAATAATAGATGATGAACCATCAGTGTCAGCAAATCTAAGTAAATATAATCATCAATACTTTTTGTATTTATAAATTATATTTTATTTTAACATCATATTGTTATTTAATTTATAGTTTCAGAATGTTTTGACGTTCAATTTAGCGAATCAGGTAAAATAATATTGTTATTTATTAACGTCTAATTCGTCTAATTTTTATTTAATATTTCTAATAATAATAGATCTCAATGAAATTAATCAAGATAATTTGAATGATGAGTCTTAAATTATTAGTAAGTTTTTTCGAGAATAATCAGAATATTATTTAATAAATTTAAAGATAATATTTAAAAATTTTTTATTTAACTTAGTTTATATTTTTATTTATATCTTAGTGGAAATTTTTATGGTAGGAATTAATAAATATATATATTTAATAATATCTTATTTTTATGTTAAAAAGAGACGCTCAACTATGTTAGAAAGAGAAATGCTTGATTATTCTGATATCATGATAAAAAAATTATTGGTAGAAAATTTTAGATTAGCTTGTCTATTAATCATTAAGAGAACTTGAAATTGGTTACAAACAAACAAATAATTTTAAATTTCTTATTCTTTACAGTATATTTAAAAGCTATTTATTTTTTAATATTTTTATTAACCTTTATTTTTTATCTGAATAAGTTTTTAAATAAAAATTTCTTTTATTTTAAAGTTATTTAAGACTTAAATTGATCCATCTAAAATTATTTTGAGGTGGTTTAAAAAAAATCGTACATTTTTAATCGTATCCGCAGTAATTGCCTATTCACAATCTTAATAAATTAATCGAAATTCGGTCTAGTAAGAACTTTTAAAGAATTAGTTCTCCTGCGATAATTTATCTAATTGATTATTAGCCAGTTTACTGACAAAAGTATTGGATTATATAGATCACACCATTCACAGAATCACGGACTATCGGATCAAAATTAATAACTACAAATAAAACAAGAGGTGTTTGTTGATTGATATATTATTATAAATATTACTATTTAATTTTGCAACTTAAAAAAATTATTTTTAATCTACCCATTTAAAATTTGTCATAAAACCTTAAATTTTTCTATCCATGTAATAATAAACAAATATCGTGTAAAAATGCACTTAAAACTTTTCCATTATCAGTTTTGATCCGCATCCCAAATAGAGTCAATAAAATTACTTGGTTTCCTCGGAATCCACCTAAATCCGTTTATTTAATTTGCTCTCGTCGATAAATATTTAAAATTACTCTGATTAGAATAATATTTAATGGTTCAATAATATACACTTTTATATACTGAGAGGTACGTTTTTGTATACTGAGAGATATCAAGGTTATTAGCGAGAGATTGTACCATAAAAAGATCACTTAATTTGCGTTAGAATTTTATACCGGATTATTTGATATACAAGTTATACACAGTGAAATTCTATATAATGGAACCATCCGTTCCATTAGTAAAATTTGTCAAAAATCCGTTATATCAAGAATTCCGATATATATATCGAGGTTAAATTAATTATACAATTCCGATATATCAAGATTTTACTTATGATCCGTTATATCGAAGTTCTGATACATCAAATTTCACTGTGTAGGATAGTAAAGAGAATATTATGAAATTACTAATATAGAAGATATTACCTGTTACTCGAAAACAACACTCGTATATAAGTACTTCGCTTAACGTATTTACTAGAAGCGGCAGTGCGTCACGCTTCAATAATGGAAATGATTAGGTCATTTGACAACCTCTGAATAACCCAGGTCATTTAGTCATTTACAAATATTAGCTAAATTTAAGTTTAATGTAATAATGGGCCATAATTAGAAGACACTAATGACACAAATGACACACGAACAATCATTTGACTTGATGTCATTTAGATCACTTGCCATCACTGCTGCCATACTGTTTATGTGAAGGAAGTCTAGAAATTTTAGAAATTTATTATATTTTTTTTATTATATTTATAATATCATTAATTTCTTTGTAAATTTGGACAATGGTAAATTGGCTGATATGACTATTAAGTTGTAGTTACAAGACGATTTTCATATTTTTTTATAGAATTAAGAAATGCATTGTTAAGAAAATATGAGATATCACGCTCCGTCTAAGATCCCAGGCTAATTATTATACTGACTTCACTCGTAATTAATCAAATCTGATTTAAGAGTTTAACACATTTGGTTTCTTTTAACTTACTAACGTTAAAAATACAGGGAATATTAACGTTAAATTTATAAAAGTTTCATCATTATTCCTTTTATTTGTTGACAAAATTCTTCGCAAATAAAGAAAACGATAACTTAAGGTGACCGTATGAGAAAGAAACACTTTTATATAAGGTTACATTGCCAATTTATTTTATAATTTATCTTTTATTCAATATGAGGTAATAAATCTGCAATAACAAATTCTCAAAAAATCTATATAAACCTATGTACTGAAGCAAATAAATTTAATTTTCATAATTTTCAATATATACTAATATTAGTAAATTGGTTCAATAAAACTTCTTTTAAAAGGTTCAGGATTATCATCAATTGTGAATAAATTCCTGGCTTCTTCTAATACATCTTTTGAAAGTTTTTGATAACAAAAATAACGATATGAAGTTATAATTGAGTATCTAAAAACTTTTAAGGAATTATTTTTACTTCTAGCATAATCTATGATTGTATTTAATATATCATCATGAATACAAGAACCCATACAAATACTAACTTCTTTAAGTTCACATTGCATATTTTGAAATAAAGTTCTCAATATTGTAACAATCATAGATGAATCAATCTCCAAAATTTCCAAAATTTGTAAAGAAGAAGAAAATGAAAGAGCCAATTCAGAAATTTGAGTAATTTTAAGATAATTATCCCAATCCAACTTTAAGAAAATAAGATGATTTAAACTTTTCAAAAATGAAATGATAGCACAAAGTTCTTTTTGAAATATTCTAAGAAAAAGATGAGTAATATTTGTACAAAATGGAAGAATTAATTTTGTGATATTAATAATACTAGAATGAGTAATATATTTATCATAATAAAGGGTTTTAATATCATTATTTGACATTAAAATAATTCTTTTGAATAAGGTAAGAACAGGAAGATAAGAGATTGTAATATGAAAATTCTTAAGATTATTCAATTTTGATTTAATAGGTTTATTTAATTCTGAAATATCAGTACTTTTATTACAATAAAAACTACTAAGTTCAATTGTTTCCAGATTTGAACAATGATCCAATATACTAATAATTATAGTAAAATTACGTATTTCATATAATTTTAAATGAGTTAAAGATTGAGAATTATTTTTAATAAAATTTTTATCCTTCATAAAACAAGGCATTTCCAAAGATTTCAAATTATCCAATGAAATAATGAAAGAACTTAATATATCTAATAATTTATTAAATTCATTATCAAGTTTTTTTAATTTTTGTTGTTTAAATTCTTTCTTTGTAAATATTAATTGAATGTGTTTTATATTTTTATTATATTCAGAAATGATTTTAGTAAGTTTTGTTGCATTCTTTTGAATAAATTTTAAAATTTCTAACTTTTTTACATCAAATCTAAATCCAAATCCAAAAGTGAATTTGTTGATATTTGATAAAACATATCCAAGAATTTTATCATCAAAAGAACTCATATCTATCTGATTTCTTTCATCATTCAAATCAACATTCAAGTATTTAAAATTACTTTGATTATTAAAAAATAATTTTTCCATAAAAGGATTAAGAATATGAACAACGCTATTAATTCGATTTTCTGTAGCTGGAGCGGAATAATATTGATAAAGGAAAGATCTCATTGATGTTTGTATATTAAATATTTCAAATTCTTGAAGAAAACTTGGGTAATTAATAAAAGGTTTTGGAAAGTTAAAATCAGATTTACGAAAGAATGTTGTGACCTGCTTTTTTTCTTGATCATCAAGACAAGAAAAATATGTTCGAAAGATGAGGCTCATTTTATTCTCATCTTGTTTAACATGTTTAAATGGATTTCTCCAAAGTATACGTACAACAACTTGACAATAATCTCTATTTAAAACGACACATGAATGTAATGTTTTAATATCATGAATAATGTACTGTACAATCTCATATATACAGTCAGCTGGTAAATTTACTACAATGTTATCTTGATTTCGAGACATATTCGTAAAAAAAAAGTGGAAATATAAAAAAAAGTGGAAATGTAAATAAAGAGGAAACGTAAAAAAAGAGGAAATGTAAAAAATTTTTTTTTTTTGAGGATCTCCTTATTTATGACGCAAATTCTGTAACACAAACATGAAATTCAATGAACATTTCACATGATCTGTTTTTCTAATGCCTGATATATTAATTTTCGAAAATCTGAAATTTTTCAAAGATAACTCTATACTGAAAGTATATTATATCGATACTTGAAACCAAAAAATTTTGATATAATTCTCTCACATAAAATATGAATTTAAAAATATACGATTTTATAATATATATATATAAAATAATAATTTCATTTCTTATACCCTTAAAAAAATTTTATTTTTAATAAATTTTAATTTAATATATATTAATCACGGTTTCAAATAAATTATCATAATTACGATACATGTATCATCATAGATTTTTTTGGAAAATGATCACGCCTTATGAAATTTGTGAAACATATGATCTAATAATTTATTAGCCATTTGGCTTTTATATATTTTAGTATCGTTACTTTTTAAGATCCAATGATACTTTTTTATTTGATAATCAACAATTTAATAATTTGCCCCATCATGAGGTCACGTTAAGAGAACAATATGGGTCTGATACAATATTTATATATTTTAATACAGTAGGTCGTATTTTTCTTTACTACCAGCCTTACAACAATACCAGCCTTACTTGTAAACTAATAAATATATGTTAAAAATTATCTATTAATTACCATACTATACATAGTAAAGGATGATCCGCCAAGAGTTTTGTATTACCTTAAAATGAATTTTAGAAATGGTTTAGCCAAACAATTTCCTTTTTTTTTTGGCAATTCGTGTGACCAAAACGACCTTTCATTTTTATATATTGAGAGGTGTGAGAATCTTTACTGTGAGTCTGTATCTAGGATTGAGGATTTTTTAAAAAAATATAACGGAATAGCAGATCACCTGCTGACTAATAGAATTGCCAAAAATATCGTGGCTGGTTTTGGCAAAAATTAGCAAATCAGACTATAACTGATAATAATCTAATTAATTTCTGACCTAAATTATTCGAATTTTTGAAGTATATTTATATCTTTTTGAAGTAATTCTAATTTCTAAAATAAATTTCCCATTAAAATACCAATTATAATAATAATTTCTAAAATAAAGTATTGAACCTATCCTTCCTATGAATATCTTAATTTTAAAATAATGATCAACTAATATTTATCGTTCCCCTAAAATACCCCAAAATTGATGTTAGTTTAAGGTCATTCCAGACGCAGTAAACACTTAAACTAAATATAATGCTGCGCCCCACAATTAATCCCAAATTTTCAAAAAAATATAAATTATAAAATTCACTAGATAAGTTCAGACGCTACACTATTCGTATCGGTTTCTTGTCCGTCCAGCACGTGATGACATGCAATGATAACTGCGCTTCGGACTTGATAACGGTTTCCGTTTCCTAGTTTATTATACCTTTCTGTCGTTTCATCAAAAGTGGCCTTCGCAAAATAATTGTATAATGAATTATGTTCTTATTTGTTCTACAATATTTTAAATTTTCAATGATTTATTGATACATCTTATGCTATTACCCATTCTTATTATGATATTTAAAAATTTATGGCGGAAATTTAATCCATCAAATGCTTGCTTGTCTGCAATTATCTAATGCTCAGGGTTAATATTGCAATCGCATGTTGAAATATTGATTTAATTATGTTCATAGTATATAGGATGATTTTTTAATCATTTGGTACGTTAGGTTTGGGGCTGATGTATTTATAGAACACCGGAACCTCATAGGTTATATATATATGGGCCGAACTTTTTTACTTAAAATGTACATAAAATAATTGCGAACATTTTAATTGAATTTAAAGATCATCAGAATAAATAATTAACATTACAAGAACAAGGTAAATGGTTACAAAACAGTTTCGTCAAAATTTTTCACACAGTATTTCAATTTGAAAATTGCTCAAAATTCTGGATTGAACGGAAAGAATGTAACTAAATCATAAAATAATGATAGTAATTTAGCCTTATATTATTATATTATTTCAAAATTGTCCTGTATCAAGATTATATAATAATATTCATCATAATAATTACATGGAATGATAAATTAGAAATTTATTGCAAACTTCAAAGGGTAATATTATATCTTAAATAATTATGCATCATGAAATACATTTATAAGTTATAAGTAACGTTTATTAAATAGGAAATTAATATGTTACTTGTGATTAGTATGTTGTAATATATATTAGTCATAACTCACATAACTCATAAGTCAATGAGTCATGACTAATCAATTTCACGTCACGTCGCGTATAATTAGTTAATCATAGTTACTTATTTGAAGAAACATTAAAAATATATCACAAAAAAACTATATAAATATCTTACCTTACTTTTCCTTCAATATATATTTTATTTTTCTACAATATTTTTTTCGCATTTTTTTATTTTCTACTTTATTTTCTTCGCAATATTTTCTTTATTTTTGCAATATTTTCGCATTTATATATTATTTACTTTACAACAAGTGGAAAAAAATAGGAAGAGGAAAATCGCAACAATAATGCCAGTTACTTACGTAGACAAGCTTTAAGAAGCGAGATCAGAAGTGACCATCATCGCAGGTGAGTAGGTTTGGATGTTGAGACGAAGGTTACCTAGTCTCCGTTATTCCGTAGTTGCGATAAGGTGGCCATGAGCATAAGTGTGGCCGAGGTATACCACTTTGGTCACTAGCGTATGTATGGTCACTACAAGTATACCATACAACCACCATCTATATGGTCACTTCATAGAAAACTATATGGTGCTGCAGAGTCACTTACCCACTTTAGCTTCGCAAAACGCTTGCTTAGGCTGGTCCTAACACTCACATTGTATATTTGTAGATGTATGATTTAAGCCTATTGTTTTCATATAGAATGTTCGCGTAGGCAAAGAATACGTGACTTTTTGGGAATCTCACAGTCCCAAAATTTTATCTTTTCTTTTGAACAGGCTAATAGATTTACGTCTGATGGTAGATGTACAATGTGTACATACAGAAACTGCACAAGATTCTAACTATAATAAAATCAGGCGCAAACATATCACGTTTTTCTGTGTTACGTAATTCAATTACTTAAATAGAGCGCTTAATCTAAATATCTCCGAATTTTTTAATTATATAGATTGTCTGGTTAATGAAAAAATAATTAAATAAATTTAGTTGGAAATGAGGAAAAGAAAAATATTCGTTCTACTGCGCCGATCGCGGTAACAAAAAAAAAAGAAATATGTTTTTAAAATGATTTTAATAACTTTATTATATAATTATTTAAATTACAAACTAAGAACTCTCATCTTAGTGTTAATAAATGATAATAATTTGAATATAATACAATATTATTTTGATTTATAAAGTCAAGATAAAAAAATAACAAATTAGTAAATTAATTAGTTGCTTTAAAAAGAAATACTTAAATTAGTATAAGGATTATTTGTTATTACGTAAATTTTCACCTACTGTCGACATTAATACTTTGCCTTTTATTTGTTGTTGAGTTATTTCTTTTTCATCATCTAAATTAAATAAAAGTCGCGTTTAATAAAGAATTTTATTTATTAGTAATTTATTATAAAATTTAAGATATTGATTTAATAAATAAAATCAATCTTTGTGATTTGAAAATAATTAAAATACATTACCTCTAAAAATGGTAACTATTTTTGATGATTTGTTATTATTCTGCTTATTTGATTTATTAAAATTGTTAACTAAAATAAATAACAATTATTAAACATTTATTATATGATAATTCAATGCTATATAATATTAATAAATACTTACTATTGTCAGGAATGTTAAAATTATAAAATTTACTATGAAACGCTATTAGTAGTAAAATAAAGTAAATTATTATAGTAACCAAATAAAATGGTAGAAATTATTATTTATATGGTTATACCTTCTTGTTCTTCTAAGATAACATTAATAATGTATTTTAAAATAAATACATTCGCTAATAAAATATTATACACTTATACCTTCTATTGCATTTCTTGGTTTAGGTAGATTTTCAAAGTTGTGAATTTTACTTGTAAATAATCTGCTATTCGTATAATTTTTTTCTACTTTATTCATTTCTAAATTATCTATTTCTGATTTGAATAATTCATATGACATATTTCGATTATTTAAACTAATTTTACGTATTTTGGTATCAAGTGCATCAGCATCAGGTCTTTTTAATGGATCAACATCCCAACATTCTTTCATTAAATTTTTATATTCTAATGGAGTTCCTGGCACAATTTTTGGCCTTATACCGTTAATAATATTCATTACAATATCATTTTCATGTTCATAATTTATAAATGGTGTTTGTCCAGATGAAATTTTCCACATAAGAATTGCAATACTATAAATATCAGATGCAAAAGTATATTCTCTTCCAAGTTCCAACAATAACTTCGGGTGCTATGTAAGGAAGATTTCCATATATACTTGTTGAAGATTTATCAGCAGGTCCACAAAATCCAAGATCACTAATAAACCACCGACCATTAAATTGTGAATATAATATATTTCCAGAATGCAAATCTCTATGAATTGCTTTCTCTTTATGAATATAACGAAGTGCACCAATTATTTCATTAATAATTTTAATTCTACCTCTCCATGTAAGTTGATTATGATTTTGTTGTAAATATTTTCTTAAATCCATATCCATTTTACCCATTACAAGCATATAATGTCCATTTGATGGATTTTGTGTTAAACCATAACATCGAACGACATGTGCAGTGGCCATTTATTACTTATAGTTAAATGTGATTCAGTCTAAATGACAACATGCTGTTGTTAATACAAAAAACAGAATTTTATAAATAAATTTCAAATAAAATTATACAAACCTTTTTAAACCAACTTTGATTTGCACTTTCAACATTTTCTAACGTTTTAGGTACTACTTTTATCATTATGCTTTGTATTCCTTCTCTTTTAATTCTTTTAATTATTTTCTTTTCAGAATCCCATTCTTCATAATATCCATTAATCCAAACTGCTGTATAGATTTTAGAGAAACCATCTTTTGTTAAATATTTAATATTTTCCAAATTGTTATATGGAATCTATTCAACTATCATTTTTGGATCAAGTGATTTCATTTGACATTTCCGTATTAAATTGTCAATACCATCATTCCCAGATGTCCAATTTGAAAAATTTTCTTTTAAATAATTTCGGACACAATATTCACAATATAAAGTGGCTAAACATTCTTTGTTACAATTTTCACAAATTCTTTTTGTTCCTGAATTATTTCTAACTTTATTTAGATCATAATCTCCAGTTAATGATCTTATTACTACAGTTTTTTCATCACTTGTAAGAATTTTATCAGCAAGGAATGTTTGTTTTTTAAATTCAAATTGTTTGTGTATATCATTGTAAATATTAGTATCTGTTAACATTAACGCTTTATTATTTGTTGCATAAATTAATTCTTGTCGAAGAGTGGACATAATGTAATTTATAAATTAAGGGAAAATAAAGTTTGTCATTAAAATGCAAATTGTTGATTGTGCCCACATAAATTTGTAACCTTTAGGCGTAATATTTGACGCCTCATGACCAAAAAAAAGAAAAATATAAAGATATAATATATTATATTATTTCTTACTGTTCTTAGTATTCTTTTATTTTTAATTTTTTTTCAGTGCATAATAAATTTAATGAATAGATAGCCTTTGATTATATTGTCGATTAATACCGTATTCAAATAATTTGATAATAGACTATTAATTTGCATTTTTAAATCATACTTAATATAAACATGATTGATGAAAGTCAAATTTCTTTAATCATTTCAAATTGAATCTATTTTAAATAAACAATGTAATGAATAATGAACTTTAATTTATCATTTTTAATACAAACGCAACAGGATTAATAAAATTTATGATCAAATAATTGGGTATATTAGATTTTATATAATAATAATTTAAGGTTTTATTTATTTATGATTTTAAATTTATAGTATATGAAGAAGAATTGGCTAATATTTCAACAATATTGAAATGATAACAATTTATTATACTATTAAATACAATGTTATTTACAATTTATGTTATTAAATACGATTATATTTACATTCCATATAAATAAATATTTTGAAAGATTTCTTTATATACGATATTTTTGGTAGATGATTATCAGATACTCTAAAGTAGTTGCCGTAGCATCGTTCCGTCGTTCCGATCACCGATCCAAACCTAAATGGTAAAAGGATGGGAAATTTTTTTTTTTTTTTTTCGGTTTAAAAAAAAAAGCCAAAAGAAACAAAAAAAAAATTCGAAAAAAAACTAAAATAAAATTTTTCAAGTTTAAACCAAAAAAAAGATTTCTTGATTTCTTTTTAAAAAAAGAGGAGATAGAAAAAGAAAACCTCGAAAAAAATTTTAGAAAAAAATACCGAAAAGAAAAATCAAAAAAATATTATGCGACCGATTGTATCATTTCAAGAGGATGAGAAAGAAAAAAATTAAATTTTTTGGATTAACTGGTCATTAGAACATGCAAATGATAATTAACTATAATAAATCAGGTGCAGAAATATCACGTCTTTCTGTGTACATAATTCAAATTATTTATATAGAACTTAATCTAAATGTCTCTACTTGTGTAAATCAAATTTATAAGTAAATTTGTTTCTTTTTTTAGAAATTTGTTTCATGAAATATAAAGTCTTTTTCTCTTTTTTTAAAAAATTTTTGAGTTGCAAAAATATATAAAGTTTTTCACTTTTAAAAAGTAAATAGCATCACAATATAATAGACGATCATTTAATATAAGTATATAGATTGTCTGGTTTAATGAAAAAAAAAATAATTAAATAAAGTTATTTGGTTTAACCATTAAAGGAAAAACCGAAAGGGAAAAGGAAAAAAGTTCGTTCTACTGCGCCGATCGCATTAACAAAAAAAGATGATTGATAAGAAACCTAAACTTTGTTTTTGCGGAAATATTGAAAATGGCTGTCGGAACGACGGAACGTCCACATGACCTGATAGCCAATCAAATGTTTCTAGCTATTATAAATACGGTATAAATCAGGCGCGGAAATATCACGTTCCACATTACACAATTTAAAATTAGTTACGCAAATAGAATCCAATAAAAATGAGCCAAATTTTTTGTGCTTCTAATTTGGATTTTTTCCCTTTATTTCATTTAATTCTTTTATTTCAAAATTTTTTATTTTTCAAATTTCCGAATTTTAATTGTACTGTTATACAGTATTAAATCAAACTCCTGTCTCCTGAGATCCGTAATCATACTTTAAAATGTCTTTACCATAATGGTAACTTTTAATTACAATCAACTAATTAATACGTTAGTCGATAGAAAATTTTATTTTTCTTACTTAAACACGCAAACTTTTCAGTCTCAACATATGTGTGTAAACTAAAATGAGGAAAAGAGAATATAAAGACGCTACTGAACTTGAAGACGACGACGATGAAACTACGGATGACAGACTGAGGACGAATACGAGTACAGAACCGAGGACGAGAATGAAGACGAACTTGTGGCTGAAAACGAACTCGTATCTGATATGAAGACGAACTCGTATCTTAAGATGAGGAACTTGAAGTATTTCAGAATCTAGATTTCGCCCATTACCAATCGATTATCTAGCGCCCGAACTGGACGTTAATACTAGATGGAATTCTATCTTTACATGTTGGAAAAGTGGAAAAGAATGGAGCCTGCTTTAAATTTACTTGCCGCCGATAATCCAAATGTTCGTCAAAGATATCTTACCGATTTCGATTGTATTAACATTGATGTAAGTGAAATCTTTATCCTTTCCATATTTTTGATAACAATTTTGAGTCATTCGGTCGGATTTAAGCAACAATAATCATTTCATGACGCTTTGGAGTGTTCCGATTGACAAATTTTTAAAATTGTGGCAACTTACTATATTCCCAATTTATTAGGATACTATGGTTCTTTTAAGTCCAATCGAACGTGTAATCCGTTTCCTTTCAGCATTTAGTTACCCAACTCATGGTGACATTCGGTTCGTTTTCTCAGCATTCAGGAACATTTATCTCGATATTAGTGATGAAAGATTTTCACAGCGTCTGCTTTCCAACCATTCATGCGTATTTTCTTATTGTGACAGATGCGATTTATCAAAAATTAAGTAACCACTGGCCGATTATGAGTGAATCTTCGCAACTTTCTTCATTATTAGATCCAAGGGTAAAATTCTCCGCATTTGAAAATGAAATCGAAAGAACTAATGCAAAAATTTGGCGTTGAATCTTACCAAATATTCTCCCCCATCATCACCATTACTTGCAGGACTACAAGAGGAGATGATATTATAGATACACGAAATTTTTTTCGTTTTTTACTTGGGTTTCAGAGCTTCCAACACTACTATCAATTTGTACAACATTTTCAGCCATTAATATACTAGCAATAAATACTTTGACATTAAATTTATTTGGTCTCAAATTATTTTCAGCCCCATTATTACAAAGATCAAGGAAGATTATACTTTCATAAATATTTTTGTTGAAAGTACTTATATCTGGTGGATTACTAGTTATAGTAAATAAACTAATTTTAAGATCGTATCACGCGTTAGGAGATGGTATCATCGACGCGATACAATTAGAGACTTTATTAGAAATAGACATTTATCAACCAGTTCTTTAAGATCAATAAGGTCAAATGTTTAGCATTCTACTACAGATTTTTTATTTGTAAATTATGATATTACCAACAATTTAATAAAAATATAATACTTTAGACTGCGCCATAAAAATGTATTTTTTTTTTTTTGGAACATCGTTTATTGGATGAATATGAAAAAGATGATTATCTTTAATTTCTCTAACCCAAAAATAAATATTTTTCTTTTGGTCAATAAGAGCTTCATCATATTGTGTACTATATTTATATGACATGAAATTATTACACATGTACTACACAACTATACACATGAAACATATCACATTTCAGATACTGAGCATTCAAATCGAAAATTCCAATTTGAAATTGGAAATTCTGACTTGGGAGTTTTAACTTGAACGTAATCGCATATGGGTCACAATATTTTAAAATGCCCATTGATTGGATGTGACGTAGAAAATCGTGGTTTAATAATAAATATTGTTTGAGTGATCCAGAAGATCCAAATCATCAGTATTGGAAAGTATATGCATCCTTCTTTGGATATGATTTAATGGACCTACAATGCTACAACGTTTGCATTGACTCTGAAAAATTAAATAACCATACATGGGGAAACATCATCCCACTTGACTTTAGGTCATACAAGTAAGTCTGAATAATGGACACCAAGTTTAATTTTTATCATTTAGCATAAAAAAGATTCTTTAATATTTATTCTCAAAACCACAATTATTAGTCACGGTTAATCACAACTTTCTGAAGTCTAAATTTTATTACGATGAGAATTGATAATATGTTGTTTTTATCTCAAAATATGACAATCTGTATTGTAGATTTAGCTACTTCCCCTGATTTTTACTTTTTTGGTGATTTTTGCTAGACACAAATGCTAAATAAAACCCTAATTCATTAAATCTTCGAATCGGGTCCACATCTTATAAGATTATTTCCATTTCCAAAATAACAAATTTTACACATCATGTCATAATTAACTCGACAATTAAGTTAAATTGATGTTTAATACCGAAATATAATTTGGGAATTTTTATTTTATGTGCGCCCTTTATCATGTGATTATATAATTCATTTTCATAATCAAGTTGAACATTAAATGCCTTTAAACAAAAGAAGCGAATGGCACTTTTTGACAAGAAGATTGATTAAAATGAACACTTGTTTGATTAAAAAAAAGTGTAATGCTGGTATATTTAATTGGAATTTGAAATTTTTAGAATATCATGGTAGTATATAATGTTGATATTTTATGACCATTTAATTTAGATAAAGTGTAGACTCGATACCAGTGTAGATTGAACCACCATATAATTCAACTAATGGATCAAGGAGTAATTTTATCTGGAAACATTCTATAGCAAATTTTATTCAAACCCGTGATTTGGCAAAATATTCTATAATCAATAGTCGTAAGAAATATCAACGAAAAAATTAGATCCTTTAATATCATTAAATTATTTTTTTCTTAGTTGTTTACTAATTTATATAATTTATATTTTGTCGTCTATTATTGTCTATAGCTGCACGAAATAATTAAAAATTTGACTGGTTTACAGAATATTTGACTGATACACGCACGTGCCTTATCGCCTGCAAGATTAGCTGTTCTTACTCCAAAAACAACGCTATAAACAAATAATATACTATCGAAATATTGTGTTTTGCGGTAAAAGAGATGACGTTTTTATTATAACTATAGGCAGTATTAGAAAAGACAGTGATTATTTACTAGGTAGTTTTGTTCAAGCAAATACAGTATTATATTATGGATTACGCGAAATCTTTAACTTTTAAAAATAGTTTTCATAATGGTAGCTCAAATTTAGCAAAAAAATCATTAATAATACTGTAAATAATAATTATAATTTAATTTTAAAATGGATTGAATTTTCTCCAACTAGAAATGAATTATTAAAAATACGGAAATCGAATTTTAATATTTTAATGATGGATCGTTAATTAAGTGAAAATTGTAATATAACTAGTGGATTTATTTTTGAAAAAAATAGCGAAGTACAATCGTTTTTCTCAAAGAATGTAGAAAATTGTCTTCATCTCTAAGAGGTGAATTAATCGCGGTAGTATACAGCGACAATTTTTACTAAACATCAAGTTACCAAATATTTAACCACTATACATTAAACTATCAAGCATAAATGAGCTATTTAAGTGTAAAAAAATCACTAAAATTTAGTGGCATATCAAATTCTTTAGACGAAGAAGCCATCAATAAATGATAAAGAAATTGTATTTTATAGGAATTATAATTAATACAAATTAAATGATGATAATAGATAGTAAATAATGCTTTCTTTGTCAATAAAATTGTTCGTTACATATATAATCAGGGAGTGCTTACTATATAATATATGTGGGTACATACTTAATAAATTATCAGAAGACTACAAATATTTTATTTGACTGTCGAAATTTTATTTTTCAAATTTTAGAACAAATTTTGATCCCACGATGTAAAATTGTGAAAACAAACTATTAAAAATAGGTTAGATAATATTATTCAATTCTTTAAATAGTAGATTTTTTTGTGAAAAAAGGTATTAGGAATAATATTTGATATTTCGGGGGAATATAGTAGATTTCTATAATGTTAGATAATACACTTTCCTTGTATTTAATTTAATTTATTTTTTTAGGAGGGTAGTAAGGAGGGTGCGTGTAGACTGTAGAGAAGATTGGCACGTCTAAGATTTTTAATCTTAGCCGATTATTTCCATTATTGTAGTTGACTGTAATATATTTCTTGCGGTTTAGTTTAGATTGCTATATCTTCAATTCTTGTTTAATAAAATAAAAATAATATAATATCGAAATGCTATCTAATCTCTAATTTTGAATTCCGTCATATAATAATTATAATAATAATTATAATGGGATCTCCTGGCCATAATAATATCGAGAGTCTATAATCCTGACAAGGCCAACTTCAAATGTAAATCCCGATTGAATCAAAATCCTGACTAAGATTCTATCGGTAAAAAAAAAAAAATTTTAATTTCAGCTTAAAATTTTTTGGTTTCAAAATGATTAAAATTATCATTTAATAGTTTGTAATTTGTATTTTTTTTTTTTATTATTTTGTATAAGTAAATTTACAAATAATTTATTCTAATTGAAATGTTTCATTTTTTTTTTAAGAAACAATTGTTTTTTAAAATTAAAATGATTTTTTACTCCAAGACAATCAATTTTTTTTAGTACATTTTTAATTATAATTGATTGGCAAATCCAACTCAGAATTAAATTTCATCTTGCATAAATGTTTTAAGAAATAACTGATATATAGTTATTTATTTTTTCATTATAAAATTTTTTGTAATCCTTCATATCCTTTCAAAGCATGTTCATCACTTGACAAGTTATCATTGATCAGCAAAATACCAGCAACACTTACAAAATTTATAATGCGGGCCAAAACGTATAGTGCTGGCCAGACAATTTTTTGGCAACATGTATAGTTCCAACTATTGTATTTTGAAAACCAAAATGAACAGAATGCTATTTCTTATTATAAATTTCACAGCTCCCCATGAATGATGGACTCTTGTTTTATATAAATATTTTTTCCCGTTATGACTTTTTTTGTTATTTAATTTTTTTTATTTAATTTTTTTTTATCACTTTTTGATTTTTTTATTCAATTTTTTTTTATCACTTCTTTTTGTAATTTGATTTTTTTATTTAATTTTTTTATAACACTTTTTGTTATTTGATTTTTTTTATAATACTTTTTGACTTTTTTCAATTATTTGATAAACGTTATTATTTTTTTTTAATAAAAATACTTTTTTTGTTTTTTTTTTTACATAAATTTTTTTTTATAAAATAATAAGAAATAATTATAATTAATTAATAAAAATATTTGTAGTATTTTCACAATATTAAAGTTTTTTCGAAAATACTTCTAAAAAGTTAATCAATTTTTATTGATAATTATTTTTTCACAATTCCTTAATTAATACGAATTTCATTCTATACTTAAACGTCAAATCTTTAATATAAATAACTACATTATTGTAAATATAATTGGGAATTGCTAAACGTCGCCTGGTTTTTTTTAAATATTTTACATGATGTACAATATATAAAGAGTAAATTTATTAATCGGCTGACGGCTGATTTTTTCAAACTTAGCTAATTTTTGATCGGCTAAACTTAAAAATTTCATCGCAAAGATCCACTTTAAAAAAAAAAATTTTTTTTTCAAACATATTTATCCAAAATAATCTTATCTAATAAAACTTTATTTGTAAATATTAAAATTTAAATTACACATTTACGATTTTAAAGAAAAAAATCACTGTATTTATTTTTTAATGAAGTGATACAAATAAAAGAAAAGATAAGTAAATTACAATGATCAAGAAAAAAGATGCTAATAAAAAATGAAATAACAATGGAGTAATGAGAAGTAATAGAAGATGAAAGGGAGTAAAAAAAGAGTAATGAGAAGTGATAGGAAGTAAAAAGGAGAAATAGGACATGATGGAAGATGAAGAGGAGTGATGGGAGACGAAAAGAAGTAATGGGAAGATGAAGAGGAGTGATGGAAGGTCAAGAAAAGAACATTTTTGTCACACATAATC